GGGTGCCTGTAGTCCCAGCTACTTGGGAAGCTGAGGCAAGAAAATTGCTTAAGCCCAGGAGTTTGAGGTTGCTGTGAGCTGTGATGCCACGGCATACTACCAAGGGTGACACAGTGAGACTTTGTCTCAAAATAAATAAATAATAAATTCAAGATATATGCGGGTATTTATTGAAAAGAATTAAAACCGGGGTCTCAGAGAGATTAGCACTCTCTGTACACTGCATTCACAATAGACAGGATGAGGAAACAACCTAACTGGCCTTAAACAGGTAAGGAAAATGTGGCATATACATACAATAAACTATCACTCAGCCTTAGAAAGGAAGGTAATTCTTCCCTAAACAGCAACATGGATGAACCTCAAAGACATGATGATGAGTGAAATAAACCAGTCATAGAAGGACAAGCACGGCATGGTTACACTTACATGTGAAACGTAAAATGGTCACATTCATAGAATAAAAGGGAAGAATGGTGGTGGCTAGGAGCTGGGAGGATTGGGAAGCTAACTAATCAATGTGTAAAATTTCAATTCTACACAACTAATCAATATACAAAGTAACATTTAGAGTTCTGCTGTATAACACTGCATGTGTAGACAACAAGGCTATATTGTACGTTTAAAAAATTTTTAAGAGGGTAGATCTCATGTGTTCTTACCAGAATAAAGTAAAATTTTTTAAAATTCAGAAGATATTAATGTATTTTTAGCATTATACCAACCCCCCCGCCCCCCGTTTGTATTCTACCCAGATGAACTTGACTATATTTAAACTGTGTCATTAGAGAAAGGTGACAATCTCTTTCAGTTCATTTCTTCCAGAAAATGCCTCTGAAATCCAAAGACATGGTGGGCATCTATCTCTACTCCCCCCGTGGCATCCTGCTGCCACCTACCTCCTCTGTACGGTAAGCTCCTGAGGACGAGGGCCTTATGCTTTTTCTATGTTTTGGGGCCAGCACAGTGCTTGCATGTGGCAGGAGCACATGAAATATTTGTTGAAATAATAAATGCATGAACCATTATTAGAGTCTATAAAAAGAGGGCTGGAAACCGGGTGTGTCACTTTGTTACCAGCCCTGTCTGGAGAAATCAAGCTTGGATTGGAGCCTGAAACTGGTGATCAAATGAGGTTTCCCCCGATGGCAAATTGTTGAGCTACCTTCTATAGCACCAATGTGACCACAATTTTGTAAAGAATAAATCTCATACCCATATACTCAGAAACAAGAGAGACTAGTGGGAAAGGTGAACAGCGTAACATTTAGAGAGCGGGCCTATGAGTGATTACTTTTTCTATATACCATCCGTATTTTACAATTTTTATTTATTATTATTATTACTATTTTGAGACAGAGTCTCACTCTGTCACCTTGGGTAAAGTGCCATGGCATCATCACAGCTCACAGCAACCTCAAACTCTAAAAGCAATCCTCTCGCCTCAGGTTTTCTATTTTTCAGTCGAAACAGGGTCTCACTTGCTCTTGCTCAGGCTGGTTTCCAACACCTCTGCTTAAGCAATCCTCCCACTTCGGCCTCCCAGAGTGCTAGGATTACAGGTGTGAGCCACCTCACCTGGCCTGTATTTTACAATTTTTCCACAAAAGACACTCTAACTGCTTCGTCTTCAATCTAACCCTGTATGCAGAAAGCTGCTGCCTGACCTGGAATTTAGACCTAGAATTTATACCCTGGGATGGACTGGCCCAACATGAGGATGCATAAAGTTCTGCACAAATGAACAAGGTCAATAATCCTGGGCCATCGATCTTCTGGGACTCAGGACAGATCAGAGCAGGTCTACAAACTGTGGATCAGGTGTACAAACGGGTTTTCTCTGTGTTGAGGAGCACAAATACAGTACTGGGCTTTCAGTGACCATACCCAAATGGTCCCTGTGAGGCTCAGCCCCTTCAGCAAGCTGCGTTCCAATGTTTATTATGACCACCACTGCATCCTTCCTTCTGCTGAAGGGTTTCTCCATTCCCTTTCTAAGAAGGGAACATAGGGCATAAAGAGGAGGAGTAACAGGCAGGAGTGCTGGGGACAAAGCAGCCTGAGTCCCCATCTGGGACGCGTCAACAATCTAGATTTATGGTGTGTGCCCTGGAGGGAAAACAGGAGAGATAGCAGACCCTCTGGGAACTCTGCACAAGGTACTTGCCACTATAAGATAATACACAGCAATAATTAGGTCTTTCTGGAAAATACAGTAATAATGTTATTAAAATTTTATTACATATATGTTTTATATGAATTCAATTTGGGAGCAATAAGGATGATATGAATTAAACCATAAACAGATCCAGTGTCTGGGGGCAGCTCCACTGCTGGGACCCACTAGCACAGACCTGAGAGTCTGTTCTGCTCTGGGTAAGACAGCCCCTCAAGGTCCAGGTGGGCCCAGGCAGCAGTCTTAGCCTGTCCTGGTACTCATCCTAGTACCACCCACTGGGAGGGTTGATTCCCTATAGAATATGGGTAATTTCCCACCCACCTCTTTGCATTAAAATGAAAATCATTACCCAAGCCTGTGAAGTAACCTAGATTCTTCTTTCACTTTGGAATTCATTTAATTCCGTGGCTTAAAGAACGTTATCAAACACAGATAATTCTCTTCGACTTTATATGAATTCATTTAAGTCATATGTTAAATAAATGCTATATTACATTTTATAAACCAAAGAAATATACGCAAGGTCTTTAACTACAGATCATCCCAGGCATTTATAGTGAAGAAAGCCTCACTTGGGCTGAAACAGTTATACATAATGAACCGGCCGCATATCTCCCTCGGAAGCTTCTTTTCCTCTGACTATGAATGTGAGTATCCTGTTCTTCGTTCCATTCACTCAGCAAGCCCTTGGAAGACACTTTGCCCACAAGGGTGGATGGTGCTGATGCCAGGGTTTCATGTGCACAGAGCAACTCTTTTCTCCCTTGCTTTTTCAACGGTTTTTTGAATCACTCTACAGGAGCTTTTATAAATGCACTGGGAATTTGCAGAGTGTGGATCATCAGCTACAGCATGAACCTCCTCCAGAATTCCCTCACTGATTATCCTAAAGCAGTGGCAACAACAAAAAATCACATCTGAGCCAAGGAGCCCGTGGTCAGGAAGGCCACATGTGTGGGCTCTTGGGAACTTACCTGAATCTTTGCATGTCACCAGAGGAATTCAGAGCATTTTATATATTGCACTTTTATTAACTTTCTAGGAGGGAGCCAGACACAATTAGAATACCTTCGGACCTGTTTCTACGTTGCTTTGCATGAGCTCATCTTTCCTCCTGTGTGTGCATCTTCCTTTTAGGGTGCAGGATTCCCTGAGGGCCACAAGGTTCTGTTTCCTCTCTGGCCCACAATGCAGTACTTAAGCAGAGTCCTGGATTTCTAGTAGGCACTTACAACAGCCTGAGACTTTTTTTTAAACATAAATTTGCCACAAAAATCTCTCTGGAGCCCTCATCATGGGCACACACAACTCATTTGTGTTGTTTAATTTTCTGGCACATAGACGTCCATTAACAAAAGAGACCGGCAAGGAAAGATTCTCTAGCTCCTCTGCAAATACCCATTTCCAACAGTTTCCTCATTTCATCTTAAACACTATAAATAAGAAGTGACAAATGTCAAAGACAGAGAAAGGTCATTTTTGTCTTTGCTTTCAAAAGATTCCTAGGTTCTGCACCAATCTTAATACCACCTCCCTTTTGGGACAGGATGTAAATACCAACCCTCCCGCGAGGCTTACATTTTACCAAGACTTGGGACTCCAGCACATGGGACGCTCTCCATGGCAGGCTGGGCCACATGAACCTGATCATGAAATTGGAGGAATTTCTTCCGTGAGTGAAAAAGGTCAGGAGGATGCTAACAGATAGCGGGAGAGACACTGCATTTCTAGCCAAGAAATAGCTTAGGCCCTGGAAGAATCTGCATCAAAATGAGTAGGGATGTCCTGGGATTTGGGACTTTGCTGAGTTTCTCGGGAGGAAAGTGGGAGAAATAGAGCAATTCACTGAGGGTCCCATCTTTTCTCAGGGAACATGCTGCAACATCAGGTTTTACATTTCCCTTGTTACCTTGTGTCCACCCACCTGATTTTTCTGTACTTTACACAAAATCCTGATATCTTTCCCCGTCTCTCTATTCCCTACTCTTTTTTATTTTATTTTATTTCCTATTTTTGGCTGGGGCTGGGTTTGAACCCACCTCTGGCATAAGGGGCTGGTGCCCTACTCCTTTGAGCCACAGGCACCGCCCTCTATTCCCTACTCTTAATCAAACACGATGTCAGTGGTACTAAGAGGAATTTTGACTCCTGATTCCCCCTGCAACTATGTTTGTACCCAGAGTGGACGTCCAACAAGTTATGCCAACTAGCTCGGATTTCCCCACTGCCCTGCCCTCCCCATTTGCGCGCGCGCGCGCACACACACACACACACCCGCGGGCTCTTACCAGCTCCCCTGCGGAGCGGTCTCTTCTCAGTCCTGGGGTCCTTCCTGGGCTCCGTCTCTCCCTGGCTGGCGTCGGGGGGCGCAGGCGAGTGCGGGAGAGTGAAGCTCTGCAGGAGCGGCTTCCTGGGCAGGGGCGGTTTGGAGCTGAGCTGCTCAGGAGACCGGGCCTTCCCCTTTCCCTGATCGCTGGGGGACTTGGTGCCCCGAAGGGCAGGGGCTGCACCAGCGTGACACTTCTCATCTTTCGGAAGTAAAGTCAGTCCTCTTTCTAATCTGACCTCGGCACTGTACCTCTTCATCCCTCTGGCCTCCTGGGAGGAGCCCTCTCGGTATTTGAGAGACAGCGAGGTGGACCGGAGCTTGACCGGGAAGGGGCTTCTGTCCTCCCCCATGGGCGGCTCCTGGGTGGCTGGGCAGGCCACTCTGGCCCCCGAGTCCTGAGAGGCGCCCTCCGCTGGCTTCTGAGGGCCGAGTTTCCCGCTCTGGGGCTCAGGAGGTCCCTGCAGGTCATCGAGAGCCGCCTCGCTCCTCCAGGCCGGGCCGCTCCTCCCCAGGGGCAGGCGGCTGCTGGTGACGCCAGGATGCTCAGGCAGGCGCGAGTTCCCCGGGCGTGTCCGCACCCTGCACGAGGATACCGAGAACTTCTTGGAGCCCCGTACCTCCGTGCTGCCTCGCTCAGTTTTCCGCTCTGGAGCTGCCCTCTCTCCCTGGGGGGGCTCCACCTGCTCAGCCTTGGGGACCTCCGCAGGGGCGGCTTCTCTGTCCTGGGCGCAGGGTCCGGGCTCCCCTGGAGGCGACCCCGCGGGGGACCTGGTGAGGCCCGTGCTGGCAGCTGAGGCCCTGCGCTTCAGGCAGCTCTTGGGCACTGGCGGGCTTGGGCCTGGTGCCATAGGGTACGCTTTCTCTGTTCCGTTAGGCTCCACCACTTCCAACTTAAGCTCCATTTCTTTTGGGACACCTTGGTCTGGGACATCTTGGTGTGGGGCAGCTTGGTCTGGGACATCTTGGTGTGGGGCAGCTTGGTCTGGGACATCTTGGTGTGGGGCAGCTTGG